TAAATCTTTTCTTATGCATGTCATGTTTTATAGTGTATTTGATTTAGGCTAAAGCCTCGAGAAACCAAAAATTGATCATTGTTTTAATAATCCTTAGAGGATAACTTGGTGTTGAAGGACGATTACTGAGATATATAACCGCGGGACATTAGTAGAGACCAACCGGACGAACCACAACGCGAATCATCTATTAATTAAGTTGTTCTTTCTAATCTTTATACACATTTCATTCGTTTCATTGGTGGTAATAACATGATCTCACTATTATATTCACATCAAGTAGTAAAGACGAGCGTCAGGATACATGACATTTACTTGATTACAAACCGTATGGATCTTAAGAGATGATTCCAGGCATTGTTGAGTTGAAATTGTGAGTTGAAATTGTATTGATAATTCAGTTTGTGTTCACTTGGTTTGATTGTGTGTCCCCATCCCAATTTTGCAGCCAAACACTAAATTAAAATATATATTTGCTACCCAATAAGAAAGCCTAAATATGATCCTACCCGTAATCCRAAAATAYATCATGGGTTRAAGATGGAATAAGGAAAAGGGAATAACAGGGGATCAAATGCAGAGAAAGGATAGAAAACGACCCAAGTAAGACAAGCACCTGCCAAAAAACGGGCTAGTTGTCCGAGCACGTGAGAAAAGAAAAGGGAAAATACACTAAGGACCCTTCAGACTATGATACACTGAGGATCCCTTGTTCCTCCTTAGCCATCAGTTCTTAAGTCATCCCCTATTCCCCCATTACAACCCATCAAAGACCTGGATGATCTTCTAGAAAACTTGACAACTGTAAACTTGTATTTTGTTAGTATTCATTGTATTACTACTAGATTCCTTTCTGAGATTTCATTTAGGCCTTGTATTTTGTTAGTATTCCTTGTATTACTCCTTGTATTCCTTGTATAACCTACACTTTCTATGCCAAGATGCCAACACAGGTCTTGGAGAAAGAAACAACAATCTTTGAGTGTCAAAAAAAGGTCTTTGGATCTGTGTGGATGAGTGGATCAGTGTTCAGTCACAGATTCTTAAAAAATTGGATGGATTTCCACATATATATGATTGCAAATACCAACCAAAGGCATCTCTAAATAACCAATTTCAATAACATAACCATTAAATCACCACATAATCAGTAAATCACCATATAAGATATAACCAATTTCAGTAAATTTAGACCTAATAATCACCTAAATCAGTAAATCACCATTTTTGGGTTTTGATTTCAAAACAGAAAGTGCATTTAGAGGCCAGAGTACACAGCAAAGTAAGGAACTAAGAACAGCAGAAGTGAGAGAACAGAGAAGGACGGACTTACCGGGAGGCGGGAGTTAC